ATACACCACATTCTCACATGATACACCATACACAACACTATTGTCACAGGATATATTTATATGTCATCTATACATGTCATCTAAATGAGAAAATAATGCATCATTGAAGAATAATCTGGAAAATTTCGAGTAATAGATCGTTGGGTAATAATACCTTTATGGTTGTACATCCACTGATTACTGTATTCTGGGATAGTCTACAGAGCACTATATCCCAGGTTAATGTTTGTCACTGACTAAATGCCTGGATAATGTTTCAGAGTTATTGTATCGTTAGATAATGTCTCTTTGCTTACCTGCAGCTGATATCCAAGAGTTGTACTCATGGTAGCCTGACCCTGAAGTGCAGTTTTTCTACTGACCGCCTGATCACCCAGATAATTGCTGTCTGCAGCACACAAATCTAAATAGCTATCACAGTCTGGTTGTTCTGGCATGTGCAAGTACCTATAAAGTTCCTTCTTGAAGGCTTCTACTTATGTGCCAGTATCTCTCGTAGGAACCTAATGAGGACCTTGAAAAATCTACCTTTTTCTCTAACACCTGCAAGAACCTATTAAGTTTCTTTATTCAAAATTTCTCTTGTCCCAGTGCCTCCTGCAGAAGCCAATTCAGTTCATTTATAAAGGCTTCTGCTTATGTCCCAGCACCTGTGGAAACCTACTAAGTTCGTTCTACCAGTATGCCAGCATCTCTTGGGACAAACTGCTGAGTTCCATCTTACTGGGTCAAAACAGCAAAAACTTGTCTACAGATTAGTCACATTATCCTCAACTTTTTTTTTTTTTGCGAGAGATCATTTCAGAAATGTTAACAGTGGTTCACGGTAGTAACGTGTTCATCAACGGTTCACAACACCAGGCTCTCATTCACATCTAGGTTGCAATATATATTTTTCAAACACTTTGCCACAACATATATTTTTTCACCACCGGTTCAGGAATTTATTCATCTCTGAGTCATAATACATTTCACACTGCTCAATAATTTTCACCTTCAACGTGACTCCTGGGACTTGTATTTACTTTCCATACACACAGAATCACCACACCAATATTTCACCCAGAGGATGCACATTCTGGAGATTGTTCAGCAGTTGTTCTAATGATGAACGGTTGTACACTATATGAAGTGTATCTGTTTATTCTGGAGATTGTTCACCAAGAGGATGTGAAGGCAGAACTGTGTACAATAGGATGCACGTCTTATGCGCGAAGCTTAGCCATCTCCAGTTCATCCTCAGTGTCAGAACAACTGAAAACCAGAGAAAAAGCTTGTTTACACCTGGGATCAATATATCATCCGAAAAACACTCAGAAAATAACTCAAGAACTCTTGCTATTGACTCTGCTAAAGCATATTCACCCTACGCATGTGATTCCACAGTTATACAGAAAAAATTAGTAATGAAATCAGTGAATTTAAGTGCCTCGACGAAAATGTCACACTGACTTCTTTTTTGGTTATTTTTGATTAAATGTACGTAGGTTACAACCAATGTAGTTTGCGTATATCAATGGCTTGCTTATTTTGACTATTATATAGATGAATAACAGTCTGTAAAAACACATGAGAGAAAATAAATTTAATCTTATTTTGAATTAATCATAAAAATTATGTTTATGCTTTGGTCGCAGGAGAGGTGATTGGGCATTAGTTTCTTGTCATTAATAATAAACACTCAACTGAGTCAACAACTGGCTTCCCCCAGACCTTAGTAAAAATGATAATGGTAGAGATGAGGAATGTGGTCACTGAACACTCCAAATATAATTATATGTTTTGGTCACTCCAGCTCCTGCATGAGAGAAGCGTCGCTATAATAAAGTGAACCATACTGATTTGGTGTTGTATTGTCCACTGTGTTAGTACACTTTATACCTGTCCAGTTACATTAATAGTGGTGAAGGCGTAATGCACCTCCCACCATAGATGACGGTGAGGTGGGATTATGGTGATACCTGTTCTCACGACGGTAACAGGAATGGCGACGAGGAGTCTCTATATCTGAGATGGTGTCGGGTAGCTTGGCCCCGAGGGTCTCCCTCAGGGGTAGCATGGACAGGCCAGCCAGAAAGGCTGCTATCCCGAATGTCAGCGATGGTGCTGAAGGATACAGCGGGCCCTGAAAAGAAGAGGAAAGAACCACAGGAAGAGAATAATGGGAATAATAGTACTACTGCTACTACCGTTATTGCTATTACCACCACAACCGCTACTACTACTACTACAACTGCTACTACCACTATTACTACTACTAACAATAATAGTAAGATCAAGTAGCATGACAAAGGGACTATACAAGAACCTTGCAGTGTAGTGTAACTAAGAAATACTTCACAAGAACCTGATAAGGTAGGCTTACAAGACCATGCAAGAATTTTAGCAGGTATTCTAACTCAGAGGAACCTCACAAGAACCTTACCAGGTAGTCCGTGATGAACGGGGAGAACATGGAGCCTAATCTCGAGGCCATGGTAGTGAAGCCTAGGCCCTGCAGCCGTACCTCCGTAGGGAAGAGCTCCATGCAGTAGAGATAAAGGATCTGGAAGGCAGCGCTGATGCACATTTTGCCCACCATGGCTAGCGTCATCACCAGCCAATAGATACCTGAGGATGAGGTATTGGTGTTGAGGTGTTGGTAGCGGGGTGCTGGTAGTGAGGTGTTGATAGTGAGGTGTTAGTAGTGAGGCAGCTGTTCCAGATGTGACAGTGGACACAACTTAAGTGACGGTGTCATGGTGGATAATAACGCAACAGCAATACAACTACCAGTTTTACTCCTTCTGTTACAACTATTCTTAATTCTGTTACTATAAACAACATTAATAACAATTAAAAATAATAGTGTTTATGTACTTCACTAATTGTGTTGTGAAGGTGTCATCTCAGCTCCTGGCCCTCTCCTCTTCATTTTACACAATAAGTTTTACTAGCCCTGTGCGTACATGCATTGTATATGTGTACCACACAAACTCAAGACATCATCTATAGTTAATAAATAATCAACAGGGAGATCCTAGGAGCTAATTCAGATCCTCTCAGACACAGTTAAGCATGTGTAAACAATGTTAGAAAGGTATCCACCATAAGGCCTGGTCACAGCCCGGGCTGCAGGGGCGTTGACCCCTGAAACCCTCTCCAGGTATACTTGGTGAGTAAACAAAGTACTAGGCGTGTAGTGTGCGTAGGTAAAATGTGCTAAGCTGAATGCCATACAACATCGCTAAACCCACTACCTGGGGGAATGAAGGCAAGGGCCATGATGACGGTGCCACTGGTGAAGAAGCAGACGATGTTGGGCCACTTCCGGCCTAGGCGGCCCACGATAGGTGCCACGAGCGTGTATCCCGGCATCTCCACCAGTCCACCCACCACCATGTACAGGAAGGGGTCGACGCTGTAGTTAATGGCATTCAGGGACATCCCATAGAAGGTGGCCGCCACCATGAAGAAGTTGAAGCAGAGCACCACGGTAATGAGGCGAAGTTTTGGTGTCCTGGAAGAGGAGTTCGACAACTATAACTACACACACACATGAATATGAATAGAATTCTAGACAAAGAAAGAAAGAATGGGAAGAAAAGTGAACAGAAAACACGGAATAAAGAGAAGAGCTAAGAACAAATATGTAAGGCTAAGAAAAAAGCTGACAGTTTGGAAATAAATGGCAGAAAATACCGGCACAATGGAAATATAAACACATATGCAGTATAATGTGATCCTTTATTGACAAAGTTTCGCCCACACAGTGGGCTTTTTCAAGTCACAAACAGATCTACCTGGGGTGGAAGGTACGCGAGTATTTATAGTCAGGTTCAGAACTATAAATACTCGCGTACCTTCCACCCCAGGTAGATCTGTTTGTGACTTGAAAAAGCCCACTGTGTGGGCGAAACGTTGTCAATAAAGGATCACATTATACTGCATATGTGTTTATATTTCCAAGCTGACAGTTTACAAAATGTTGTAGAATTAAGGGCTTAAACAGAACTAAAGTTGCTTTAGATAAATATATATGAAAAAAGATGGCCAGTAAGGAGAGGGTTTACAGACCAAGACTCTAAGCTCACAATATTTCGCTCAGTGTAAATCTTTATCATGATAAAACTCTACATAGAGCGAAACTGACTGAAGATGAATGTGAAGAACCGAGTGTTAAATCTGAAGAAACGGGAAGGAGGCAGAAGATAAGATAAGATAAGATAAGATTTCGTTCGGATTTTTAACCCCGGAGGGTTAGCCACCCAGGATAACCCAAGAAAGTCAGTGCGTCATCGAGGACTGTCTAACTTATTTCCATTGGGGTCCTTAATCTTGTCCCCCAGGATGCGACCCACACCAGTCGACTAACACCCAGGTACCTATTTGCTGCTAGGTGAACAGGACAACAGGTGTAAGGAAACGTGTCGAAATGTTTCCACCCGCCGGGAATCGAACCCGGGCCCTCCGTGTGTGAAGCGGGAGCTTTAGCCACCAGGCCACCGGGCCAGGGGGTCCACAAATGGATGACAGTCACATAAAAAAACTGAAGACTCGTACACCGACGTTTCACACAAGGAGAGCTGTGTTGCTATAAAGTTATACATTGAGAAAGAAAGCTCCTTTTATGTGAAACATCAGCATAATAGAGCCTTATGATGTTCACGTCTCTGTCAAGGACAAAGGATGACCGAAATGCATGTGGTCTCTCGAGAATATTTAGAATAATACAGGAGCTATGTAAAACATAGACAGGTGGGAACCGGAAAATATTGACACAATGCAGAAATGACGAAGTTCCCAAAGGAGCTGACTAAACCAAAATGGGACCAGACAATATACCTTCACAAATACTGAAAAAAAGAGCAGAATCCTTGTATGACCCTAGAGCGAAGATTTTCAAGTGCCACACAACCGGCATAAGGTTAGTGTGGTCCTAAGTATAAAGGCGAAAGATGGGTGTGTTGGTATTAACTGTGTGCGTGCGAAGTTCTCACCTGAAGAGTATAAGGAGCCTCCTTAAACAGTGAGAAATCTTCTGTGTACAAGTCAATGCTTCACAGTTGCCGTTCCGGGCTGCCTCCTTAGCTATGGTCGACTGCAAGAAAATCCAGTCTTAATACAAATTTTAATAATAATAATAATAATTGTTTTTCCGTATACATACATACATATATATATATATATATATATATATATATATATATATATATATATATATATATATATATATATATATTAATATATATATATATATATGCAATAAGATCACAGTAAACAGGTGATTTCAGAATATGCAAAACAACCACTCTGAAAGAATAGAGAAATTCCAAGCGCTTTCGTGACTACTCACATTATCAAGGAACTATGAAAGTAAAGCATCCAAGGAAGCTATATAAGGGGTCTGGCCAGCACCTCACTATCAGATCCCACAACGGTTAAACACCTGACGCGCGCCGACCTAACTGGATAGGTCCTTTGCACAACTCACCCACAAACTATTCTACCCAAGAAAATTTAAAAATTATTATTTGTCCAGTGTATTATTAAATTCTTCCCAAATTCTATTAATTATAAATGGATCTAATTTATATAAACCAAAGGAAATATTCATATTATTGTCAAAACTGCTTTTTATGAAACAAGATTCAATTATATTCCTGTCGACCATGGACTTGCTTGATACTACTATGTCTACTATTATTCCTCGCATCAAGATAGAGTCAAACTGTCTGTTTTCTCATCAATGTTTCTGAGAGCTTTACGAATTTGTAGTCCTGAGTTCATAGATGAGGAAATATCCAAAATTTATGAAATAGGTAATGATTTAAAATACCCAAGAAATGTAATTGATAAATCTTTTGAAGTTGCTAGAAATACTTTTTACAATCCAAAAAGGGACAACCAGCCTTATTCAACTAAAAATATGTTGGTTCTCCCTTACCATGAAAACTTGGTTGATATGCCTTCTCTTCTTAAGACTTTTAATATTAAAGTTGTATTCAAAAATCTTGATACAGTAAAAAAAACTTTTGATAAAGAATTCCCCCCAAAATGCTGATGGATGTGTCTATGAGATTCCTTGTAAAATTTGCGATAAAGTTTATTACGGTCAAACTGGTAAAAATCTCGAACTAAGATTAAAACAGCATAAATATAGCATTAGAACTGGACAAGATTCCAATGCTCTATTTATTCACGTAAGAGATTTTAACCATCCAATTGATTTTCAAAAAGTTGAGAAAGTAGTATCAAGCAAGTCCATGATCGACAGGAATATAATTGAATCTTGTTTCATAAAAAGCAGTTTTGACAATAATATGAATATTTCCTTTGGTTTATATAAATTAGATCCATTTATAATTAATAGAATTTGGGAAGAATTTAATAATACACTGGACAAATAATAATTTTTAAATTTTCTTGGGTAGAATAGTTTGTGGGTGAGTTGTGCAAAGGACCTATCCAAGTTGGGTCGGCGCGCGTCAGGTGTTTAACCGTTGTGGGATCTGATAGTGAGGTGCTGGCCTGACCCCTTATATAGCTTCCTTGGATGCTTTACTTTCATAGTTCCTTGATAATGTGAGTAGTCACGAAAGCGCTTGGAATTTCTCTATTCTTTCAGAGTGGTTGTTTTGCATATATATATATATATATATATATATATATATATATATATATATATATATATATATATATATATATATATATATATATATATAATATATATATATATATAATATATATATATATATATATATATATATATATATATATATATATATATATATATATATATATATATATATATATATATATATATATATATATATATATATATATATATATATATATATATATATATATATATATATATATATATATATATATATATATAATATATATATATATATATATAATATAATATATATATATATATATATATATATATATATATATATATATATATATATATATATATATATATATTATAATATTATATATATATAATATATATATATAATTATATATATATATATATATATAATATATATATATATATATATATATATATATATATAATATATATATATATATATATATATACATATATATTATGGAAAATTTCCTAGGGTGCTTAACTGTATGTTTACCGTAGTCACCCCGTGTAGACATGTGAGAAAACTTAACCACCCCTGGTCGCGGCAAGTGATTCCTTCGGCCTCACAATCTTATCCATATCTATCCGAGACCAGTATAGATTGGATAGCACCCACAAGTACGGTGCTACAATTTAATTGTGGACTGTATAGATTATATTAGTTTAGCTGAATGAGGGGGGGGGGTAAGATACACCTGGATACATCCATCAAGGAAAAGCATTTATACATAATCCCACCACTTACCAGCTGTTCTCCGGTGGTCACTTGATGTAGCTGGATCACTCATAACCTATCTAATTATAACACACCACAACTGGCCAGCCTAAGGTTGCTATAACTAGAAGGGTTACTTAAC